CAACCGGACACCAAGAAAAACCAAAAAAACGCCTTCTTTTTCGATGCGGGGACGGTGCTGGCTTCTACCGATTTTAGCAACTTCTTTTTCGCCACGGGTAGCGGAACACCTGCCACGTACACTTTTGTTTTCACTCGCTGCCGAACTCGACGGGGAGACCTACAAAATCGGAAAGTAGTCGGATCCCGTCAAAACCAGTAGACTACGCTCCGTAGCAGTAGTCGGATCAGACCCTAAATCAGGGCCTTTCCGGCTCTGAGTCTTTTCAGCCTGAAACTGAGGGCCATTTTCAGGCCCTCATAAGATCGACCTGCCCTGAAACGTAGGCACCAGACCAGGGTTTTAGCCCATGGCCTATTTTCAAGACAACCTTTGTTTGAGCTTCAACCCCAGTGTCTGGCACGTTTTGGCATTGGCAAGAGCAGCCTCCTGGACGGGCCAGCACTATATAAACTGGCCCGCCCTGCAGGCTGCAAGTAGTTGCTAGGTAGTTGCTAGGTACTTCCCAGGCACTTCGGGCGCAGTTCAGGAGGCAGGAGGTAGTCTTCAGGAGTCGGCAGCAGCACTCTGGAGGAGCGCTGCAGGAGTAGTAGTAGCGCTAGTTGTAGTCTTCAGCGCTGGGCGCTAGTAGTAGGTAGAGTAGTACTGGAGGGAGAGAGAGATTGGGCGGAGGCCAGGGAGACTTACCCGCAGCGCCATAGCTCCAGCTTCGTCTACGAGGTACCTGCAGCACAGCGCCATCTTCACAGGTGAGTACCTTGCACATAAGACAGAGAGAGAGAGTTCTTCTTCTTCCTCTTCTCAGTCCACCATCTCGTTCTCACCCTCTCGCTACCTGACTTCACGGCACCAGCAGACTACGAGAGAGCGGGATTGGTGACATTTGGTCCAGACTCGACATTGGGTTTCAGACATTTGACGAGGGATTATTTGGGACTTGTAACGAAGACTTGGTGTGACGACATTCCCATCTCACCCCCCTCTTCTTCATCTGACTCCCTCCTCATCGTCTGTGCATGATCTGGATCTGGTGCATTCTTCCTGTGTGTAGCGCCAGGCCCCTTCACACCTTGTGACAAGGATGATGTATGTTTGATCTGCATTGCGACATTGATTGGACAAGTCATTGATATTCTAGTATTTCGCTACGCTGTCTTGTACTACGTGTGAGAGGTCAGTCCCGGTCAGGTCAGGACTTGTATCTAAATCTTCCACTGCGCTATAAAACACCATTTTGTATGTATCAGGATGTACACTTCTTGTTGAGATTTCACTAGCACTGCATTGTCCATTCAGTCCTTTTCATCACATTGCGGATCCTTGGTTGTATATGTACATCGCCAAACTGGGCATGTAACACACCACAAGTGCCCCAGCACAACAAAACTTCAATCTGAAAATGGGTGCGCTGTCGGAGAAGGTAGGGGGAGACACAGCATTGGGAGGAGCTATCCCCAACCGTAACAGGAGGAACGCGTAGGGAGGACAATCGCAGAAAGGAATGGGTGGAGAGATGGCGAAGGAAGCATGGAGGGAGAGATGGGGAGAACAAAATTGTGCGGAGGGTGAGGAAGAGGGAGAGATCGCATGGAGAGGTGGCACATATTTAGTTATGGGGAGCCATGGGAGAGGTTGTCAAGAGACAACATGGGTGCACCCACCCACCCACACACACACACAGACAGAGAGAGAGAGAGAGAGAGAGAGAGAGAGAGAGAGAGAGAGAGAGAGAGAGAGAGAGAGAGAGAGAGAGAGAGAGAGATGCTGCGATACAGGTGGGGCAGGAGGAGGGGGATGTGGACTGAGGAGAGGGTGAAGAAAATCATTGTACTGGAGGATTTCCTGAGTCGTGTCTAGAACACCATCACTGTGAGGATGGCTTTCTTTTTAAGCATCATTATGCAAGGTTACCACCTGTTCCTTTCCCAGCTATTTTGTTTGATCAGATCACCACACTGCATAACACCCGGGAAATGTTGAGTCGGGTGTGTTGGACGAAAAGGCTCGTATCACCAGGCACATCGTGCACCACACCAGTTTGGCAGGAATTGATGCACACTGCACAGCAAAAACATTTGTCAGGAAAAAGAGGCTTGGAGGGATTGGTGCAAGGAACATGAATATGGACGAAGCACAGAAATCCAGAATGCAAAATCACACTGAAGACCAAGTAGTCAAAGCCAAAGCAGATAGCACATGGAACCGAGTAACCATCCCATTGAGAATGATACAGAAGAATCGTGAGTCAATGTCCATGCCCAACAGGGCAACACCAACAGCATAACCCAAATGTAGTAACCATCCCATTGAGAATGATACAGAAGAATCGTGAGTCAATGTCCATGCCCAACAGGGCAACACCAACAGCATAACCCAAATGTAGCTCTCTCTTGTGAATGGCGCCAGGCGCCCTATCTACTCTACAGCCTAGCCTACAACTACAGCAATGAAAGCAACCAGACAACTTGACTACCAGCGARTGATGATGTCAACACCAATGCCGACCTCCACCTCCACCAGGTACGTGTCCTCTTCCTCCCACACTCTTCCTTGTTACCCACACAGCGCCCTTCACCTCCGAAGAACCACCTTCGCCCTTCACCCCTCTGCGCCCTCTGCTGCCCGGCTATGGCCGCCAAGCGCCCAGTGCACAGGCAGCGCCCTACCGCCTAGTGCATGCCTGCCTTGCACCACCTCTTAGGGCAGCACAGCAGCCAGCAGCTCGCATTTGCGCAGCGTGTCGGCGTTGCCCGCAATGGCCAAGATCCCTGCCCACTCGCCCTGCTTGCCTATATGCCAGTGCAGCGTGTGGGCGGCCTCCCTTCAGCCTGTGACCGGGGCCCAGAGGCTGAACCCAGCCCGATACAGTTGGGCCCCGGGGCAATGCAGTTGCGCCTCCTTCATCAAGGCCTGCGGCCAGATTCAGATAGTGGGCCGATTTCCCTTTGGCATTTTCGGCCTCTATACCCAGCATGCATTGTCGGCCTCACGTTCGAGTGCCCAGGGCCTAACTAACTCAAAGGCCCTGGGCTTTCAGCATTTGCTGAAATCTGAGACTTGGTGCACTCCAACCAACTGGCGTGCTGCAACTGTATGGACCCCACTTCGTGAAATGTTGTCACAGAGGGCTCTTGTTGATTTGCTGGCCCGCCTTCACTTAGGGCGGGCACGAGGCTTGCTGGGGCCTTAGCCCAGAACATGTACATCACGGCAAGGCCCCTACTTGAGGGCTCGTTCCTCACATTGGTGGTTTAAGCATTGGATCATTTATTTATTTATTTATTTATTTATTTATTACTATTAGTATTGTTTTTTACATAAAGCCCTGGTTGTTGTAGAGGTGGGATACTAGACAGATGGCAGTCACCCAGAGTACTCGGCCACTCGGTTGTCCAGATGACCCCCTCTGAAGACCCCACCCACCCTTCCTCTCATCTTTTTGCCCTGGCGCACCCCCACCCCCCCTGTCCTACCCTATTGTTAACCACCCAGGACCATCATCCATCACCATCTTGGCGGGGTGACCTGACCAGACAGCGGTTGCAGGCACCCGGGCTAAGCAGAGACCCCTACCCCTGCTCAGCCCCGGTTGAAGCAGACGCCGTGCAAGCCCAATTGCACGGGGACTTCGGGAGCTAGGTATGAACATGCTACTACAGGTCTTCATGAGGGCGCACAGTGACTCCCATCTAGCACAGTTGTGTGGTGATGATAGAGAGCTGGGAATCCTTCGTTCTCTCGAGTGTCCCTGGAGCCGGTTCCGGTCCCGCAGTAAGGTGCAGTATCTCCGGACACCCCCGACATCCCGTACTAAGGAACTGCAATGCCAGCCTCAACCCATAAGAGGTCTTCTCTTCTACTCAGCTGTTTGTCTCTTTTAAGCACCCATCATGGGTGGACTGATCAAGGCGGCTGGGTTGTCATATTCGAGGGAACATACTTTTTCTGTTTCCCACAAAAGAGGAGGAGAAGGGAAAGGAAGGGAGATTGATCCGCAAACTCTTCAGCTTCAAAAAAAAAATAAAAAGAGGAGGAGAAGGGAAATGGAGGGAGATTCATCCACAAACTCTTCAGGTAGATAAATTAATTAATTAATTAAAAAGGAGGAGGAGAAGGGAATGGGAGGGAGATTGATCATGGCAGTTTAAATTCAATATTCAATCATCAGTTCACAACTTCACACCAGCGTAAGTTGACGAAGCTACCTTGCAAGGCTTGCGATCCCACAACTGCACATTTTCAAAGTGGCCTGCCATGTTTTGCTACCGGCCCAGGCCCGAATCGAAATGCTCTGACCATGTGAACTGGTGGTTTGTGTAGGAGCTATTGCTGTTCTATAACTTCTATTTTTTATTTGTGGTTATGATGCTAAATATGAGGATAGCAGAAATTCGCGAAAATGTATTACGTTATTTTCCTGTAGGCGGTATCATTGGATGGTCAGGAGGACCAAGCCCAAAACGCTTTCTGCCGACCGGGTCCGTCCGTCAATGGAGCAAAGATGTGTACTTTCTGCTGCCAGCTGGATTCTTTTTGGCTGTCTGGAATTTATTTTTCCCCCGCTAACGTAACGTTTCTCAAGAACACGTCAGCACTCAATCGACATCCCTGATTTTTTTTTTCTCAGAACTTTTTGTCTGGCAATGATTGGCATTATGGGTGCAAAAGACTGCTAAGGTCAGCGCACTCAAATTTTGCGTACTGCCACCGACCTTACCTGTGACCAGCGTGAATACCGCTGTACACTACTATTGATGTCGTCAGGGACGGTGGCGGTTTAAGTAATGCAGTTTTGTTGCTTGTGCGCGGAGCATCCTTTGAGCAATGAATTCTTTCCGGCCCCATAAGATGTTTTGCTTTGAAGCAGCGAACTCTTTCTATGTTTGGCATGTTCTTTTTTTTTTTCCTGGGGGTTGAGTTGGGGGTTCCTGTTTAGTCTATTTCCCTGGACTGGAGGATATGTGCTACCCTTTTCTGACACCTTTGCCCTTGAATTGCAGGGAAAGAACATCGAGCCAAGCTGAAGAGGTGCCTCAAGTCGGTCTGCGGGATAGAAGTAACCTTCGGCAGATGAGTGATGTGAAGGATGAGTTTTGAAGTTGTGACGGCCTCGAGGTTGTGAGCAATAATGTGGAAACTCCCTGCGAGGCAAAGCTGAAGATGCGGCCAACGACAGTCCAGCACGATAGCAGGGGACGGGCGGAACATTGTGCGAAGAAGATTGAGTTTGCCTCTCGCTTGTCCGACGGCTTTTTCACCGATTGCGTCTCTCTGTCAGCAATGCTGAAAGGGGGAGGTGCAAGTAGTTAACCACAGAGAAAGGAAACGTCCATGGCACTGCCATCACTGCCATGAGTGGCATGGAGGCTGGTTTTTTTTTCTTGTTGTCGATGAATTTTCCATTTTTTGCCCAACACAGGCCCCGGGTAAGAGGTGCAAACAACGTAGGTGTGCACGGTAGCCCCAAAAGGCTAAAGCCCCATGGCAGTGACATTCACGGAGGGACTAAAGTTTTGACCGGTCACAAGGTACGACTCCCAATCGTAAAGATTCGGCATTGACGGTCTTGTAGGAGGAGGACTCTTCCTTGCAGTGCTACAAGGTGGTTTTTGTGTTTTTTTCCTTCTTTTTTGTTTTTTTTTCGCAGTGCTAATAGGCTACTTGGGTTGTCCATCGATGTTAGTGCGTCGTTTCTGTGCTCTCTGGTCTGCTGAAGCCGGGGTCCGAAAGTTTGCGCCAGCTCACTCTCGGGTTGTAACAGATCTTGTAGCCCCTCGACAAGGGGTTGCATAAGAGTGGAGACCTTCGCTTTGTGAAGCCTAGCAGGCTTGCCAAGTAGAAGCCGTATCAAGAAATGCGGACCGCATAAGTGCCTGGGTGGTTGTGGAAAGGGTCAGAGCAAAGTTCATAGGTGTCCTTGAAGTTGATCCAATCAAATTTGAGTGTTGGCAGGCCTTGTTTCCTTATTGTAGGGGAAGAGAGGGGTAGGAGAGAGAGGGGGAGGAGAGAGTGGGGCGGGGGGGCGGGGAGAGAAGGGAGGACTTAATCTATGTATTTGTAATGCCAGTTCAAGTCTGGAGTTCAGGGTCCGAGTGAAGTTCTCAGGTGTCATTGAAGTTGATCCAAACGAATTGAGGGCTGGCAGAAATTTTATTTCCTTAGTTTGGGAGAAGGGGGGGGAGGGGAGAGGGGGGAGGGGAGGGGGGGGAGGGATGGGGAGAGAGTAATAATCAATCTATGTATTTTGATGCCAATTCAATCTCTCGTCTCCCAATGCTTGACATCTAAATTGGTTGGCTGCTCCGGTGAGCTGTGTCTGATTGTTGCGAACAAAAAAGCCTCGCTCTCCTTCTGTGTGCAGTTTCCTTCTGTGTGCAGTTTTCAATCACTTTAGGTTTTTGTAGTTTTGCAGTCCCTTTGTTACATACGTCAATGGGTATGGGCAGAACCAAAGATCAACCAATATAGGATGAGCATTTATGCAGCGGAAGTCTGATAACGAACTGACTCACACCAACTGACTTACATGGCATCACTCCACACACATACAATCATGAGATGGTGGGGTCTGGGTCATTC